AGTAGTTCTGATTTCTTTTTGTAAGCCATGATGCAAAAAAAAATTCAAAGCAACTTGTAAACTTTTTTAGTCCCCTACCGGTTTACCGGAGGGGACTTAAGGTTTACCCTCAGTCCGTCTGTCCGTCTGTCTGTCCATCTTTCCGTCGGTCAGTCAGTCTGTCCACAAAACTGGATCCCGCGATAACGCAAAAAGTACTGAAAATATTTTAATGAAACTTGATATATGGATAGATGGCAGTATGGAGATTATGCACGTCTTTTTCTTTTCTTCCTATGTTGAAAATCTGGTTGCTATGGCAACAAATAGACTGAAAATATGGCAAATTTTACACATAACATGGATCCCGCGATAACACAAAAAGTATTGAAAATATTTTTATGAAACTTGATATATGGATAGATGGCAGTATGGAGATTATGCACGTCTTTTTCTTTTCTTCCTATGTTGAAAATTCTGGTTGCTATGGCAACAAATAGACTGAAAATATGGCAAATTTTACACATAATCTGGATCCAGTGATAACACAAAAAGTACTTAAAATATGTTTATGAAACTTGACATATGGGTTGATGGCAGTATGGCAATTATGCACATCCTTTTCTTATCTCCCTATGTTGAAAATTCTGGTTGCTATGGCAACAAATAGACTGAATTTCAAGATTTCTGATTCTAGTTTTTAAGTTTTTTTACTATAAGTTCTTTATTTCTTAAGGTATTTTCTTCAAACTTTAAATATAAGTTGCTTGTCATCAACCACATCATATGTGACAAGGTTTACAACTCTAGCACAAAATTTATCAGAATTACCTCCCTTGAACTTTTCATGAAAAAAACATTATAACACAAAAAGTACTGAAAATATGTTTATGAAACTTGACATATGGGTAGATGGCAGTATGGAAATTATGCACATCCTTTTCTTATCTTCCTATGTTGAAAATTCTGGTTGGTATGGCAACAAATGGACTGAATTTCAAGATTTCTGATTCTAGTTTTTAAGTTTTTTCACTATAAGTTCTTTATTTCTTAAGGTATTCTCAAACTTAAAATATAAGTTGCTTGTCATCAACCACATCATATGTGACAAGGTTTACAACTCTAGCACAAAATTTATCAGAATTACCTCCCTTGAACTTAAAATTTTCATGAAAAAAACATTTTTTTTTAATAACTTCTTTTTCTGAATGTATCTACTTTAAACTTCATATAAATGTTTGTTATTGTCACTCAACATTTGTGAGTGTTCAATACTCTAGCAAGACTATTTCCAGAATTATGCCCCTTTTGAACTTAGACTTTTTTTGAGAAATTGGTAATTTTTACTCCAACTTCTTCAATCATGATAGTATTTCAAAAATGTTATATTTTGATAACAGGGATGTTTAAAAAATAACTTCAGAGTGTCCTTCAGTCCGCCTGTCTGTACATAAAAACTGTTTCCTGTGATCACTTTTAAAGAACTTTTTCAACAAATTTACTTAAAATAGGAACCTAAGTGAATGGCCAATGGCCCTTCAGAATGTTGCTTGGGCTCTTACCGGTAGGGGACTTATGGATTGCTTGCAATACTATGATAATTGCTTGTTTTTCTTATCTTTGCTTTCATGTGGAATAATGTCCGTTTGAATAGCACCCAAGTTTGTTCTCCCATAAGAGAAAATGGTAAATTAATATAGCAAAAAAAATTGTAACAAAATTTATTTACCTGCAGTAGTATAAAGTAATATCATAAATGTATGGTAAAAAAGACAAAAGTTATACATACTGCAGGCGTCAGCCATGTTGATAATAATTCCCTTGACATATGTCATATACATCCTGAAGATCGACTTCCCACCAGGAGTTCATGATTATCATTATGGAAACAATGGTTGTTATGAATATTACTGTCCAGTCGTCATCATAGACTATCGGTCTATTTCTCCACAAATGCTTATCTGATTGGATGGCTTATCAGGAGCAAAGTTGTCTGAATCTGACACCAGCTTGGCCCAACCCCTGGTCTGGATCTGGCTCTAGTGGTTGTCCCTCACTGGGTAGTGATAAGATTCTGTGAGCATCCAGGATTAGACCTGGCTCTCGCACCACAACAGACAGGAGCAGCTCTTTCCTCTTCTTTTCAATGAACTGTTCCACCTGAATCACGCACCACAACAGACGGGAGCAACTCTTTCCTCTTCTCATTGATGAGCTGTTCCACCTGGCTCACGCACCACAACAGACGGGAGCAACTCTTTCCTCTTCTCATTGATGAGCTGTTCCACCTGGCTCACGCACTACAACAAACAGGAGCAACTCTTTCCTCTTCTCATCGATGAGCTGTTCCACCTGGCTCACGTAATACAACAGACAGGAGCAACTCTTTCCTCTTCTCATCTATTAGCTGTTCCACTTTTCTTTGCATAAGGAATATAAATGTTCAGAGAGTTTTATTATATATCTATGCAGATGTAGATTGTGTCTAAATTTGGTGTCATGTGTTTTCCTTATTAGCTCATAGTGTGTGGGAGCCAGCATGCAACATGATATGTCCTCGTCATAAATACAATCATAACAAGAAACTTTAAAAAAAAAATTAAATAAGTGTACTCATGGCATTGTTTTGAAATCATTTATTTATATAAATAAATACAATTGAAATCAAGAATGCTTTCAATTATGACAATGGGCAAAATTCTTTACAAGGATACATGCTTTTGTAAAATCTTTATATTTTCATGGGAATATTTTAGTCCTTTTCTTTTTTTATTGTGATAAGAATTTATCAATTTTTACATCATATGTTAAGAGGTTTATTGACCCATTACCTTGGAAACATCATAAAATGTATAATGGACAAGCCAGATTTGTATTTGGAACTCTTCATTTATATGTTTAGGGGTTTCAGCATCCATAACTTACCAGACTTTGTTTTAGACTTGTTCATTATTATTTAGGTGGTTTCACAAAATTTTTTGATACTGTCCATTTTTATAAAGCACAGTTTAAATACCAAAAATTTAAAAATAAACAAACCTATATTATAACAATAGAACATTGATTTTTTTTCCAACATTACACAACCATTTAAATTTTTGTCTTATGATATAAGATCGTAACAAATTATTTAAAACTTGTAATAAAAGTAAAGAATTTACCTGGAGTAAGGTATAGGTCTCCTGTTGGTTCTGTCAGACAATTCAAATATGAGTAGTCCCAGAAATATGCTGGTTCCTTGTAAGAATATAAAAATATTTTATCAACATCTAGCCTATCTTCAGGTTCGGATATATTTTTGTATCTAACAAAGAAGAAAAATTTTTCCATTCAATAATTAAAAGCTCAAACAAACCAAAGGCTTGGTGTGAAAGGACTGTAACTCCTATAAAATAAAGAAGGAGTTACGACTCTTTCACACAAAGATGTCAAATTTCAACATCCATTATCTATATAAAAATCTTCTGATTCATTTGGAAATTAATGAAATGGTACCTCCCTGAGGTTTTACAGAGGGCCCCCATTGTTGCTAAGTGGTAAGTCTTGAGATTCACTGGAGAGCCTCTATTGTATTGGTAAGTGCTAAGTTGCTATCTTGAACCACTTTACCCCTTACGTGTCATTTGTTAATGAAAATTCTTTAAAAGCCATGTATCAACCATCAAATTTACAACAATAAATCCAAGTTATACTTTATATCATTTTAAACCAAAGATATGTCATTTCTTACCACTGTACATCAATTAGATACATCAGTTCCTATTTCATAATATCCAGCTGTGCATATGTCCTCTTGTGAGTTTGAACCTCTTGGAGTGCCTGAAATAAAGGGCAAGAACTTTACAAATACTGAATAAATCCACAAGCAAACCCCAAGGTGCATAAGTACACATGCTGACCAACATTCTTGTAAACTTTCAGGCCTACAAGTGAAATACTTTTTGAGCTATGCCTGAACAAGTTGAAAATTGCAAATTTATATTACAGTAAGTCAAGGGCAATAAGTCTGATCAACATTCCTGTAAAGCCTTGAATCAATTTGTCTTCAACAACGTCAACTTGTCTTTAAACAATTGAAAGTCTGTTCAATTTAATTTTTTTTAAATAAAAATAAAAACTTCCATTTAAATTCTTCCTCTCCTAGCATAAATCCAAATCCGAATTTTAAACACAAACACTTCCTTAAACTGCTTATTTAATAATAAACATTCAACAATTTGAACAAAAACTCCATGATCGGCACCTGACACACACCGGGCTGATTTAGAAAGATCTGTAATTAGTGCTTTTTTCTGGCACCACTCCCGAACCCTCTTACGGTCCACTTTAAAGAATTGACTAGCATGGTGCTTTCCTTTCTCTTCTGCTAGCTGAATAACTTTCAATTTAAATGCTGCAGTGAAAGAGCGATGCCCTCTTGAAGCCATTTCTTCGAAATGCAGTGATAAACCGCCAAAGTTTCGGCAACACGCGCAGCAGCGAACATGTGACATCATCCGATAACTTGATTGGCTAACACTAAAATGCTGTTAACCGGATTACCTTATTTGGGAAGCGATGCGTACATGACTTGTGTCAAGCCTGTGTATACCGTTAGGTAGAATCAGCTGATTTAAACCGCTCGCTATCTTTACCTAGAGTGTACACGTACAGGGGTCGACTCAAACGTTAGTTTAAAGGTAGTAACTGGAAGCTGGAAGAGGGGGCGTTTAAAAGGGACCGGTAAAAATTTGGAACTTTGTTTTGGTAAAATGTAATGCCCCCGGGGGCGTTTAAACGGGGGTATACGGTAGTTGCATTTTCCTAACTTTTTGAAAAATTGATTACGTACATTAGAGCTTAAAGTCTATGACAACAATGATCAAGTAATAAAAAAAAAACACCAATAAACATTGAAAAATTATAGATTACAGAAGATATCAGAGATTGAGAAAACATTAATTAATGAGAAAGATACTAGTAAAACATTATACAAGAAATATAAACGTGGAATTAATATTACTGATGGAATTGATACTGGTCTAATCTGCGTCTGTTATTTTAGCAGGTGTTGGTTTAACTATTCCAATTATGTTGCCGTTGGAAATTGCTGCTGTTGTGTGTGGAAGTTTAGGGGTTGTTAAACTTGTTAGACGTAGATTACATACAAAACACACATTATGAGATTAAAACTATTGCTGATAGTAAGTTAAATAGTATAAAAGACTTGATTTCTAAGGCTTTGACAGATGGGCAGATATCTGAAAATGAATTTAAACTTGTATTAGATGAATTAGATAAATATAATGAACTGAAAGATAGCATACATTCAAAACAAACAGGATTGAGTGAGACAGAAAGAAAAACTTATAGAGGAAGGCAAGTCCCAGGCTTTAACAGAGTTAACAAAAAAATAGAAAATGCTTGGTTTTATTGAATAAAGTTACAATAATTAATGATCCACCACCTATTTATATGAAATGAACTTTCTCTCACATTTTCACGCATAAACTAAGAAAATACAAATATGCAGATTTTTACTTTTTATTACCATTTTAATTCTTTGCAAATTTCTGTCATGATTTTACTGTTTTGTGTCAGTAACAAGAGGCGAGGTAAAAACGTCTTCTCACCACTGTTAAATACATACAAGTCAAACACAATAAAATAAACATAATATCACTGTTCTGAGTTCTTTTTCCTAAACCGCTCATGGTAAGAGCTGTCACATCCACTGATCATGTATGATCACTCCTTATATGGAATAAGGAAATCAATATAACATACATATCAAACCTCTTGTGAGTAAGTCTATCTACTGGAATACTGTCTGCCTGTCTCCAAAAGGTGGCAAACTCATCTATTGCTAACATTTGTTTGATAAGTTCTTGTTTTGAAAGAATATCATTGATTGAGACATTAATGTTCAGAAAACCCTTAAATCCTTTAAGTAGATTAGAAAGTTGTCTTAATTTACGAGCATGAGGTATAGATATATCTATCTTAGATGATAACCATGTGTCCCACGTTCCACTGTACAATCCCTTTTCCTTTTCCTTAAGAAACCTGAGGCTCTCACATCATTAAGGAAAGCACCGAAAGTAATGTTAAATAGCATACCTTGGGCATAATGTCTTCCCAAGCGTTTGTATGCTTCTTGTAACTGTTTAACAATGTCTTCTCCACTTTTTGGATTAAAAGCAAACTTCACCCTCGAAATTGCCCTTGATAAATCCACCTTTCTGCTTCTTAGAAAGGTGTGAAGTTCTTCAGGGGTCATTATAGTTTGCTTTCTTTTCTTTCCCAGTTTTTCTATAAGTCCTGCACCTTTCTTTTCGGAGCTTTTGGACCGATATCCTGTATGTCTCTTTTTCTGTTGATGTTAAAAGTGTGATCATTTATTACTTTAAAAAATACCTTTTCACTTTAAATGAATTTATAAAAGTCTTAGATTCAATTTAATCCACACTAATGGATTCGGGACGCCGAACTGATACATTCTATATGAAACGTTGTCTTTTAAATCTTGTTTAAATGTTAGAAAGATAATTGTTTTAGATTATGAAAGCAATATACATGTAGTATATATTAACGTCACACCCTTACTACCTCAATACTTTTGCTGAGTATAGTACAAAATGAAGTTTCCGTTAAAAAGGTACACACCTTCTGTCGTCCAGGCATCATCATAGGAGACTGGTTCTGCGGTATATCTGAAACATTGGCATTATTATTATATTTTCATTAAACAATTGGCAACTGTTACCGTGTCATGTTTTAATGAATAAACAATACAAAAGTAAACATGTATTTATGATATATGAGTTGCGACGTGGCGGAGAGTAATGTGCAAGTCAGACTGGTGTGCTGAGGAATGCTATTTGTATGGGTCCGAGCCAAGTCGTCGTTTCCTTGAACGAGAAATTTTATACTCACTGCTGAGTACGGGTTGCGTTCAGGAAGGATTCAAGAGTATTTCTTTTAATTTAAAACTTAAGACACAGTCGTATTCAACATTTCAGTATATAAACTACGCCCAATAACTGATGAAGTGCTCTGTACCATTAAATAACCATTTAATTACCACTGGTAAAAAGATACTTCATAAAAATTGGCCTTGTGTACATTGTTACATAGCTAATGACAACGGCCCTGATGTTTTTGCATAATAATATGTTTGATGGGTAGTGTATGCGTTCTAGAAATAAGTAAGATAAGTATAGAAAAAGGAAAAATAAAAATCAGAGACATAAACACAATAAAAAGAATAAACTTTCATACTTTCAACTTCAATATATTGGAGGCTTTTTCCTTGGAATGAATCAATGTTGCCATTTTCCATTGCAATCAAGACTCTGGCAACCTTTGTCTTCTCTAAAAGGCAGCTCTGCAGCCGATAAATATCGGTATGAACATTCAGACTGTGACCCATATGATCTGCCACCATTTTCAACTCAGCTTCTGTCATTTCTATTAACTATAAAATATTGAAATAAGAACACTTATTTCAAAGGACTTGAGATTTTATGATTTTGCTGAAGTAAAACAAATAAAAATTCACAATTCTATACACAAATGTAGTTATTCTAAATGTACAGTGTCATACAGAAAACACCTTATTTGGTTCGTGTTAAACATGAACTAAGAGACTAATAAAATGAAATGGAAGCGGCACGACTCAATTTATTACATTGCAAGTACCATCACTTGCATTTGGGAAACACTTCATACTTTATTTTTCCTTATATAGCAATATGAAAATTTAAAAATCGAAAATATTCTATAAAAAAATAAGCAGAACACAGAAATTATAAGATGTCAATTATCATTTTAAACTTTTTTTCCATAAAAAAATAATTGTTCAGTAAGTCTTATTAGAAGAATAAGGTGCAGTAAACAGAAACCGTAATAACTACTCTGTAAGTACTTATTGTAAGTAACTTATTGATGTATTTTACCTGTGTTGTGGCAAGATATTTTCTGAGTTCCCTAGTGCGTATTCTCTCTGGATGTTTAAGGCCGGGACACGCCTTTGTCACATCTCGCATTGCCTCACAACCGTCTAGGGGTGTCCTTTCGCTCTTCCTTATAAAATCATATTATGACTGGTTTGACCATTTATAAAGATAAGATCATGATAAGTAATATAAAAGTTAATCAAAAAGGGTATGCGAGACACGACTAACCTGTCAAAACTTAAACAGTTATTTTAAATATTAGCACCTAATTTCATAACACGGACATGATCATAACAAACTGTATGCTATCAATTTTAAATTCAGTATGATAGTGTAAGAACAAGCTATTTAATAAAAAGAGATATGAAACAGAATAAAAAGTCAATTAACTTAACATTCAAAGAAATTTGACGTAATTGACTACCTGCAAAACAAAAATGGACTGTTGCTGTATCTAGTTTTCATTAAAAATTCTAATGCATCCACTATATCTGGAGTGAAAATCAGGAAGACGTTCCTCAAACCTCTTGTTGACTTCCATCTGACTTCAATGACTTTCATTCTGAAAGTAAACAGCTGTAAAATATACTTTACTGATGTATGGCTAGCTGCTATCAGGCTTAGATCTGCTATGAATTGACAACTTTTAATAGATTGCACATTAAGCATTAGTCAACATGAAATAGTAGCCCACTATACTGTTAATGGTTATCTTAAAAAAAACAAAATAGAGCATCTCAAAAGTGTTATATGTAAACAAAATCATTAGAGACATACGGTTTTGATAGAATTTTCTCGGACACGTCAAGTGAATTCAGGATGTCCTTGTCAGTTTCGTCATTTTTGTCTAATGTCAAATAGTCCGAGACCTTCATATCCTGAACCTCGGAAATTCTGCTCTTGTTAAAGAGTGCAATGCGGACAATAACCAGTTCTGCTGCCCATTCCTGGTCTAAACATCAGTTTTTTAGGCGGGAAGGGGCAGAGAGGCGCATTAAAAAAAAGACAACTTAGTTCGATACATTTACTAAATATATCATTTTATTTCAGTCATGATTTGAGGGGCTGTATTTTTCAAAATATGAAAAAAAAATGTAATATATTATTTCAAACCCTCAAATTTTTGGTCTTCGTGAAAGAGTTCGAAAGCACAAAAAAGACTGAGAATTGGAAGTATATGTAAACTCACATTTTTTTATTCAGTCTTGAAGGGGATGTTTTGTTCTCCTGACACCACCGCTTCATTTTCTCACCTCCCTCATCTGTATAGAAAGTCATCCGATAACCGCTCTTTTTTTCAATTTTCCATTTTTCGGTAGCTGCCTAAAATGAGATATCATTCATTTATTGATTAAACATCATGATAAAAAGAATGTTGAACTTAACATTTTCTACCACAAGTCATTCATAAACAAAAATATACTTCTTCGTATACAATAACATTGGATAAAATCGTGTAGCATGGGCATTCCTTATAGTGAAATGAAAAAAAAAAACGAAAAAAATAGAAAAAAACAAGCATTTCTTTACCTCTTACACCAACTATCTCCTTTTCAAGTAATTTCAAGAATATGGCCCGAGCAATAACAAAAAAACTAAACCTGGTAGTAGTTTTTGTATCATTCATAAGTTTGCTGAATGTATACACCAAAACTCAATGAAAACAAAAAAGCTTTATAAAACAGTAGAGTACATGTTTGTTATAAATAATAGATTACCCACCTCTGAGCCATGTTTAAGCCTTATATGTCGCCTCAGCCAGCCAGAATAAACATATGTTTTTTCACAAAACGTACAATTATATTTCCTTTGTTTACCTGTTGATGAAGAGAAATAAATAAACATATACATCAAACATGATATAAATGCAATAAAACATAGAGTGTAAAAACAAAACTGGCAACATATCTTATCTATTGTAAAACATTTTCCTGAAGTAAACTTTTAAATACAAGCAATTATCATAGTATTGCAAGCAATCCATAAGTCCCCTACCAGTAAGAGCCCAAGCAACATTCTGAAGGGCCATTGGCCATTCACTTATGTTCCTATCTTTGTTGAAAAAGTACTCTAAAAGTGATCAGAGGAAACAGTTTTTATGTACAGACAGACAGACAGACAGACTGAAGGACACTCTAAAGTTATTTTTTAAACATCCCTGTTATCAAAATATAATATTTTTAAAATCCTATCATGATTAAAGAAGTTGGAGTAAAAATTACCAATTTCTCAAAAAAAAGTTCAAAAGGGGCATTATTCTGGATATATTCTGGATATAATCTTGCTAGAGTATTGAATATTCACAAATGTTGAGTGATAACAAGAAACATTTATATGAAGTTTGAAGTAGATACATTCAGAAAAAGAAGTTATTAAAAAAAACAATAATTTTTTCATGAAAATTTTATGTTCAAGGGAGGTTATTCTGATAAATTTTGTGCTAGAGTTGTAAACTTTGTCACATATGATGTGGTTGATGACAAGCAACTTATATTTAAAGTTCGAAGAAAATACCTTAAGAAATAAAGTACTTATAGTGAAAAAACTTAAAAACTAGAATCAGAAATCTTGAAATTCAGTCAATTTGTTGCCATAGCAACCAGAATTTTCAACATAGGAAGATAAGAAAAGGATGTGCATAATTTCCATACTGCCATCTATCCATATGTCAAGTTTCATAAAAATATTTTCAGTACATTTTGCGTTATCACTGGATCCAGGTTATGTGTAAAATTTGCCATATTTTCAGTCTATTTGTTGCCATAGCAACCAGAATTTTCAACATAGGAAGAAAAAAAAAAGACGTGCATAATCTCCATACTGCCATCTATCCATATATTAAGTTTCATAAAAATATTTTCAGTACTTTTTGCATTATCGCGGGATCCAGGTTATGTGTAAAATTTGCCATATTTTCAGTCTATTTGTTGCCATAGCAACCAGAATTTTCAACATAGCAAGAAAAGAAAAAGACGTGCATAATCTCCATACTGCCATCTATCCATATATCAAGTTTCATTAAAATATTTTCAGTACTTTTTGCATAATCGCGGGATCCAGTTTTGTGGACGGACGGACTGACGGACGGACAGACAGACAGACGGACGGAGGGTAAACCTAAAGTCCCCTCCGGTAAACCGGTAGGGGACTAAAAACGAATAATTATATTATTAGAAATCACGCCAATTAAAGATCGATTTCCTTTTATACCAAAGAATGGTTTCTGCAGGCGCTCAATTTCATAACTTCAAGACAAGGAAAAATTTTTCAAGTTCATAAACGAATTTGAAAAAAGTCAGCTTTCTTACGTAATCAAAATTAATATCTACAGGCTATGTTGTAAAGTTGGATTCCAACTACAACAGGTTATATAATGATAACATAATATTGTATAATATTACTAAAGAAGTAAATCATATATAATCTTCATAAATGTTTTCAAGAAATATTAAGGGTTTAAACTTTAACCTGTATTTAAGTTTATTTTAAAGTTTAATCATAATGAACATGTATTGTTTTATAGACATTTCATTCTTATCATTCATTAGTTTAATGTTGATTCTAGTTTGTAGAACTTATTGATACATTCTTTAACAGTAACTTAGCATAGCCTAAGACTCTTTACATACAATATATAGAGAATGGTTCTACATTCAATTACAATGATACTTAAACTTATTGAGATACAAGTTACTGATTTAGCATTTATATATGTTTGTAAATATGTTTAGTTGATATTAGTTACTAGTTTTATTGTTACAAATATTTTGCAAAACTTTATTATTTTTGTGATCCTGGTCAATTGATACGGTTGCAAAATTTTCCATGAGTCATAATCTATTTTTAGAATAGTTATGTAAAGAACTGATAAGCCTATAGCATTTGTTAAGTAAGTTCTGGTTGGCTGTAATTTGACCAATCTGATAAGTTGTTACATACAGTGCCACCTGTAGGTAGATGCTAGCTCCCTCTGGGATGCAGAAGTCCATTTATCAAGGGGCAGGACGTGAAGTAGTTGCACACTTTGTTCAAGCGAGCGAATTACTTGCAAACTTGACAAAATGGCGAACACGGCGTGATTTTTTGAAACGGGTGAACGAATTTTTGCCAGGCAAGTGGGTTTCTTTGTTATTTTGAAGTTCATTAGTATGTCTATTCCATAATGCAATATATATGCCACACTCGGTTAAAGGTTTCAGCATCCTAGATTCTGTTTTGACGAAATTATTGAAGATATAAACTGATCATGTAGATATTTTTAAATTTGACATGTGACTGTTCTGGTCAGTTTTTCTCCTAACTTATTCGAATTTGTAAGTTTTGAACTGCATTTAACAATAACAAAATATGTTTCTGTCAATGCTGTACAAATGGTTTAGTTCGCAAGTCCGAAGATAACGTTCAATACACAAAAATATCTTGTTCAAGCACATTTTTGTTGTAGACTTATACTTCAAGCCTTTTGGGTTGCAAACTTTTGTGTCGATAATGTGGCATGCATATTTTTAGTGAGGAATAACTAATTATTTTTTTAAAATAATTAGCAATATTAACCCATTTGTGCCGGAATTTTATTTTTATATAAGAAATGTATAAAACATATAGTAACCATATAGTTATAACATATATCCGTTTATTTTTCAAATATAAGTACTGTATTTTTTATTTTAGTGTTTTAATATTTTGTCTTTTGTCTACAAAAGTAGACAACAGGCGCAAATGGGTATGTGTAAAACACATATAGAATATATGTCCAGATAACCTATTGTTGGTTTATTTGATAACTTTTACTTGAAAAATTCTTTAAGTTTATACAGGCAATGTTTTCTATTACTTTTCCTACAAAAGTAGACATTAGGCACAGAAGTGTTCACTCTGAAATTCATTCTGAATATGAATTATTATTGTTCATGTCTTTTGGCTTTGATCGTATGAGTACCTAAACACTGTGAAACATTTCAAAGCATTTCCTGTGCACTCCAACATTACATTTGGAACATTGTGTCCTGCATTTTTTTCCACACAATGAACAGCGCACTTCTTTTGCTGGCTCTGCGTAATGATTTTTACCATCAAGTCGGATATGGTCTGGAATTCTTCTTGACAATGGCCTCATCCTACCTCTTGGTCTGCCAGGGCTGACAGCAGGTGTACGCCCCTCGGCAAGCAGCACAGTAACCAGAGCTCGTCTGACACCTAACAGATCTAATGGTTGCCTCAATCCTGCATCAGTAGCACGGTAAATGTGCCAGGTTTGCTGCACCGCAAGGTCAATGCAATACATAAACACTGGCCACCACCACTTCTTGGATCTGATAGAGATACGATACTTCTCAACATTTTGATCCATCCTGTCCACACCTCCCATTGTCTGGTTGTAATGCTTTATAAGGTATGGCTGCGGAAGGCGCACCCTAGCTTTTGCCTGCTTTGACCACCGTGTTGCTTGTTGCAATGGTTCAACTCCATGGCAATTTGACACCACATTCACTATATTATTGTCATTCCACCTCACCACTATCAGACCTTTGTGTGCGTCATACCTTTTATCATAGTTTCCTCGTTGCGTTTTTCCCATGTCTTTTACATTTTTGACAGGACAATCTTCTATTCAGTTGGCACGGATGGTTCCTGTGCAAGATATTCCCATATCTGTAAGCCGGTCCACGAGCTTCAGGGAAGTAAATAGATTATCAAAAGTCAGATGGTATGCATCATCTTTCTGCAGCTCTGAAAGCAGGTCCATAACTACTGCTCCGCCCATTCCAAGGAAGCCAGGATCATGGGTTTGGTGGCCTTTTGCCCCTTGATAGGGCTCAAATTGTAAAACATATCCAAGTGCTGTTGTTAACGCCCACATCTTATAATCGAACCTAATTGGTTTCCCACGAATAAACTGTTTCGCTCCGTGTCGCCCATAGTACGGGATCATGCTTTCGTCAATTGAAAGGTTTTTCTCTTTCAAGAAGTATAACAAGAAGCGCTCATTCAGCAGACATAGCAGTGGTCTTACTTTGCTAAACTTGCCCTCTCTGTCAAGATTGTTGTTATCGCAAAGATGTACATATCGCACCAATATGTCGAATCTGTCTCGCGGCATTGTACGAGCTATTGCCTCATTCCTTACGTCATCATCCCGGCTCCAGAACTGTCTCCGTCTTGGCACAGTGTTATAGCCTGATATAAGCAGAATTGCTAGGAAGATCCTAATTTCTTGGGGTGAAGTTGAAAACGAATGGTTGCCTTTTGAACCAGCATATCTTATACTCTGTTCAACAATCATGTTGATCACGTCATCATCAAAAAATAAGTTGAAGATGCCATCTGGTGTTTGCGGCCATCGACTTTTGTCTATATTTGAGCCATGCCAAGTGAATCTGTCTTTATCTTGCTCAGGTAGATCTTTATTTTCCCACTTCCTCTTTACTGGTGCAGGTCGTTTGGGACGCGGAGCTGGATCCCGTAGTGCAATTCTTACTTGAGGTCTTTTTGCAATATTTGCAGGCACTTCGTATTCATCTGTATCAGAAGAATCTGAAGAATGGTCAGTTTCCTGAAAAATAAAATATGATAAATATAAAAAATCTTATTCTCAACTGGATTTACTGTACATTATTTTCTTACTTGCTTCGTATTTATTTATTTATCTATTTATTATTTATTTATTTTATTCATTTATTTTATTTATTTATTACTAACTAGATCGGAGTCTGATGCTGAATCAACAACATGACGTCCATCTAGGCGAATAACTGTCGCTGTTGCTTGTTGGTCTAACTGACGTCCACTGAGGTTGTTGTAACCTACTTCTTCATCTTCACTTGCACTATCTTCATCTGTCAGTTCATCTACAGGAGGTGGTTGAACATGTATATCTGCCCTTTCAAAGTTACCTTCATCCTCAAGCATTGATATGATTTCATTTACTGTGTATCTTCTGTAAACAACAAAATATTTTCATAATGATAAAACGTACCCATTTGATCCTATTGTCTACTTTTGTAGACAAAATCTAAATTGAATGTCATAACACATTTTATACATATTTCTGAATTATAAAACAGGAATTAAGCAGAAATATAATTATACAATATAAAACAATCATACTTTATGATATAAAATAAAAACAATATAAAGTTTTACACACCTGTTTCTGCTAGCCATTTTCAATAATATTTTCAAGGCAATTTTTATCACATTCTTGTTGAAAACACACTGCAAATAACGTAGTGGTCTGCATTTTGTCTAGCAAAATAGTCCAATTAACGCTTATCATGACAACAAGTATAGAATAGCAATGGTAAACAAATGTGCGCTCATAATTAGGTCCTAGTGTACTGATAACTGCTAGTGTCTACAAAAGTAGACAACAGGCGCAAATGGTTCATCTAATAAGAAATATATATACAAATTCTGCATGCGTGCAGATATATCCTAACACAGGGTCTTTCAAATAGATATAAAACACAAAATGCTAAATTGAAGTTCAGTTGTGTTTATCTTCATCATTTTTACTCCTCGATATACTTCTTTTCTTTTTACAAAGTCTTGGGACTTTTTTTATATCTTGGCATGACTTACTGTAAAGGAAAAGAAGAAAAAATAGCAAAACAGCTTTCATTATTGTTCTTTTTTGAGATTTGAAATAAATTTGATTGTATAGTAGATAAAAACTATATTAACATTGACACAAGGGCATTATTAAATTGTTCCTTAATATTGACCAATCGAAACATCTTCTAAATTCCCTAACTCGAACAATGACTTTAAGTAGTTTTGTCACGTATCAGTCAATGTAAATAACAAATAGTATATCATTTATATTATGATCTAATAATCAAAATCATCTTTAGAATACCAATTAACATATGATGTACATCAAATCCGAAATATTGTAAACAAGCATGTCATGATAACTTTTGGTTTGTAAAAATATTTAAATGTACATTTACATACTTTATGTCTAAAGCAACTGCTGATCTTTACATACGAAACAAACAAGTTAACATTTATTGTGGTTTTGATAAACTTTGGAAATTTTACCGAGTAACATCGTATCTGTGCACAGTCATGTCCTTATGTTTATGATGAAAATAATTCACTTACATACAACAGTACTCTCACATACTATTGTTTTGTATGTAGTTTTCATTTGCATATTACATATGATGACATATTTTAGAATTGAAGTATCAATAAATATTTTTCTATATGCTATTATTTTGTTTGCATGCTTTTACTGATGATTATAGTAATGAACTGAGAACCATGTAATTTGAAACATAAATTGCATAATTGTTGTAAAAGAAGAAAGTATAAATAACATTTATGACAAAAACAAGTTACAGTACATAAATGTCAATAATTGCCATTGAAAAAGGTTAATAAATATAACCTTCTACACTCCTTTTGCGGAATTCAATAGAATAAGAATAAGTTTGCAACCAACAATGCTTGAAGTATAAGTCTGCAACCAAAATGTGCTTGAAGAAGATATTTTTGTGTATTGAACGTTATCTTCGGACTTGCTAACTAAACCATTTGTACAGCATTGACAGAAACATATTTTGTTATTGTTAAATGCAGTTCAAAACTTACAAATTCGAATAAATTAGGAGAAAAACCGACCAGAACAGTCACATGTCAAATTTAAAAAATATCTACATGATCAGTTTATATCTTCAATAACTTCGTCAAAACAGAATCTATGATGCTGAAACCTTTAACCGAGTGTGGCATATATATTGCATTATGAAATAGACATACTAATGAACTTCAAAAGAACAAAGAAACCCACTTGCCTGGCAAAAATGTGTTCACCCGTTTCAAAAATCACGCCGTGTTCGCCATATTGTCAAGTTTGCAACTAATTCGCCCGCTTGAACCAAGTGTGCAACTACTTCGCTTCCTGCCCCTTGTTTATACAAGCATCTCAGGCAATTTGACATTCTGCTGCTAATTTTTGGAAAAGTAAGATCTCTAAAAGCTCTCTAAGGTTAATTAATTATTTAATTTATTTTAGGCACTTTGGCATTTAAATGAACCTTAGAGATTATCTAAATTCACTGAAACATTTTTGATAAATTTGTAAGTAATTTAAGTAATTATTTTTGACAGAATTAATTAAGATTAATTAATATCTTTTCTTCGTTTTAAGTGGCAGCCATCTTGAATTATAAGATCTTTATTTTTTGTTGATACTGATAAAAACAGGGCTTGCTACTATTTAGGTTAATTAGTTTAACAGCATAGAATCATTAAGGTTATTTTTCATATTTTCAGTTATTATATTTTTTAACAATTTTCAAGTGGTTTAAATCTTTTACTTTGCTAGTAAATTCTGATTATCATATTTCTGGTTAATTACAAACAGTTTATATTACAGTACTTTATTGTCAACTTGTTTAGTTTTAAGTAACTTTTAGTTTAGTGTAAATACAAACTTTGTTCATTAAAAATTTGGTTGATTTAAATTTATTCAACATTTGTGTTTTATTTCCCTTTGCATTCAAAGGGTGGTGTCATCCTGACAATTAGTTTTTTCCCTATTAAAGAGTACTCCTGAGCAAACTAAGAACATAAAAAAGTAAACAAAATTCTATTTATAGAAGACTAAACACTTAATTTTCAACACCACAACAATGGTGCCAAGTGGGATAAAGGCCTGCTTCTATTTTTTGAAACCACTTATTAACAATATTTTTCAACACCACAACAGCTATAATGATTAAATGGTCTTTATTTATTTAGATTAAATCATTTTGTTGCATTCGACTACTTTATACATGTACTTCATATTTGGACGTCGTGGCGATTTACACTCACTTTAGTTTCTTTCACGATTAACTTTTTGAAGATATTTCATAAATAACTACAAATTCGTCTTTGATTCATTAAAAGGTTTCGATACATAAGGGGTTCCGTGTATACAAGACTGTTTTTATTTTTATTTTTGTGTGTGTTATGAAATGATGTATATCTATTTGTGTAGGAAAAGACTATTTATACACTGCATTTGACAAAATGAAAAAAAAATGTTATATTAGATTTTTTCACATGAAAATGAAATCTTTTGAATGGTCACTTATACATGTCAGCAATTTGGGAATGGTAAAGTAATAAGTTTGAAATAAAAAAAAATCATTTTCATAATAATAAAGAGTGTGCTTCTTAACATGCGCATTAATTGAAGACTAAACATCTAAATCGTCTGCTCTGCAGATTAAAAAAATAATGAAGTAAGTATCTACTTTCGTCAGATTTTGCAAAGCGGTGATCCAGATCGATACTGATCTATGAATGAAACACGACTGGTCAATTTTCTTCTCTTTGGAAACAATTTATGTCTAGGTTAGTGTTTGTGCTGCGCCGTGCCAGACCGATTTAATTTCATTAATGCTGACTTAACAAACACTAACCTACTATATATATTTTTTTTGAATCGTGACGTAATCGCACATTAAACGAAATGGTGTTTAATGACGAGTTATTGCAGATCAAATTCAATTAATTCATGTGCCAGCAACTTAAATAAATGAAAAAATCTAATTGGACAAAATATATTTTTAAACACTAAAAATGTTATTCGAATAAAAGAACTATCTAAATAACTGTTCAAATATTAAATACTATAATCTAACCTGTTCTGCAGCCTTTTCGAAGTCCTCGCTGCTTTCAAATACAATTGTTAATAATCCCGACATTTTTAACAAAATACCAGTAAGCAAAGAATTTCCTGAAAGAAGTGTTTAGCTGTAACTGCGGTCTGGATAGATATAAAATTTGGTATATGAGGGTTGTTCAAAATCAGTTTATATCTGTTAAAAGAAAATTGCCAATAGTTATAAAACTTGTGAATTTTTCTATTAAAAATATGTTCACTTAGTTGTAACAATTATAGACATAACACATGATCATACCACACATACTAGAGTGGCTGTGTCTGCAAAAAATACACATACTAGAGCTATCACTAAAAGTTATTTACACCACCATCCACCACATGGATAGTAAATTAGAATACTAATCTAAAGAGATATTTGAACCCAGCCTGAATTTTATGATGTTACATCTGTGTAACAATAACTTTAACTATTGTGACTGCCTCATGTGGAAAACATCTTCCTGGAAAATTGTCAATAAAAGGGGTCATAACTATGTCAAATATAAATAAGTCAGAAGCTCTTCATTTGACTGTTACAGTGACATAATTATTTACCACTGATCAAGACCTTTGAACTTCTGAATCAGTAAGGGTCATTTTATTGGCAAAAGGCAATGGCCCTCCTAAGTTTCACAAACGTTAGCTAAAAATTCTATTTGCCTGAAATTACCTTTCATTAGATTCCATGTCCAAAAAGACTACACTTTAAAAAATCTGCAAAAAACTAGTGTATTAAATATTAATGATTTTATCAATAATGAAAAAAACTTACTGTCTGGCTAGGATAATGTTCAGCTTGCATGCTTTCCAGTTTGCTCAACGATTAGCACGCGTTTCCCGCTTCTTCTTCGGTCAAGAGTCGTAAAAAAAGTTGATCGTTATGATAACACGCTTGCGGTACACGAGTACCTTGCCAGTATTATATATAATATAATTATAATTTAACTGTTATATATTATTATTATATAAATGGTATTGAAACTTTGAGTAACTTATACTATAAATATTTTTTACATCTTTTTCAATGATTATACATGTTTTTTTTATATCAAAACGAGAAAAGGGCCGTTAAATATTGTAATAATAGATGCGACTTATTATACCAAGAGAATCTATTAATTTATAAATTCATACATATTTTTCATGAGATACATATTATAAAGGCTAAAGTGCACATCTACTGTATGTTAAGAAGAAAATTCTGTTCTCTTAAATTTCCAAATATCATCGAAGAAACAATGCATATTTGTGATTTATGGTGTATAATAACGGATTAAACTCTGTAAGATCTATTTTAAATATCATATAACTTGTCATTTTTTTTAAGATATGTATTATACAAAGGTTTATTTTTCTTGAAGGCATAAAAAATATATAAGGGGGGTCAGTATACTCTTCCGTAATTAATGCTTGAACACAATTACATTGTATATTATTCGTCTAAAATCCATTCTCTTTTAGAATTATTGAAAAATCAAGTCATTTAATAATAAGTAGCATCAATTTGACTTAAGAGCATCCAATACAATTATTAAATGCCTATATTTTATATTATGAATATATATAAATATTTACTTCTATTTTTGATGTCATATTTCCGTATTCAAAATCAGAATGAGAAATATTTGGATTTTTCATAGAATAATATTTATGTAAGCAAATAGCAATTTACCTAATTTAAGCAATTTTAACAAGAGTATATCTCACCTGTAACAAAACAGTGTGCGAATACATCACACAGTCATTTCCGGACTTAAATGGCTATAGTTGTCAGTAATTTTGTTGTAAGGCGGTAATTACACAGTAACAAGCTGAACTAATTTTATTGATTGCACACCATAGTCTGCCTTTTTATGTCTCGGTTGTATTTTTATATACCTTGGCTGTAATTTATTTGTTAAGATTAAATAAAACATGTTTATACTAGCAATATTATGCTTTTAAAACATGCATAACATTTTTGTGCGTCTAATACCAGTGAAAAATGTGTTTTTGTAGTTCATCATCCACACATCAGATTCATATTGCCTCACACTATCCGTTAACTGGTTAATGTTTCCTATTGAGAGGTCATGAAGCATGATAGCTCTTTTCTCAAACTGCTTGTAGTCTTTTTATGCCCCCGCCATATAATGGCAGGGGCATATAGTGTTACCCTGTTCCGTCATTCCGTCATCATCAGTTTCCGTTCATTATCTTAATAACCCTTGCACATATTGAACTCAAATTTGACATATGGATATGTCATGAGAAAATACAGGTCAAGTTCGAAATTGATCATGGTTCGATGATTTTTGGCAGAGTTATGCCCCTTTTACATTGAAAATAATATGAAATTTTCAGTTTCCGTTCATTATCTCCCAAACGGTTCAAAACATTCAATTCAAAATTGACATATGGATATGTCATGAGAAATACAGGTCAAGTTCGAAATTGGTCATGGTTCGATGATTTTTGGCAGAGTTATGCCCCTTTTACTTTGAAAATAATATGAAATTTTCAGTTTCCGTTCATTATCTCCCCAACGGTACAACACATTCAACTCAAACTTGACATATTGATATGTCATGAGAAAATACAGGTCAAGTTCAAATTTGGTCATGGTTCGATGATTTTTGGCAGAGTTATGCCCCTTTTACTTTGAAAATAATATGAAATTTTCAGTTTCAATTCATTTAACTCCCCAATGGTACAACACATTCAACTCAAACTTAACCTATGGATACGTCAAATGAATGCACAGGTCAAGTTCAAATTTGGTCATGGTTCAATGATTTTTGGCAGAGTTATGCCCCTTTCACTTTGAAAATAATATGAAATTTTCAGTTTCCGTTCATTATCTCCCCAATCGTACAACACATTTAGCTCAAACTTGACATATCGATACATCAAAGGAATGCGCAGGTCAAGTTCAAATTTGGTCATGGTTCGATGATTTTTGGCAGAGTTATGCCCCTTTTACTTTGAAAATAATATGAAATTTTCAGTTTCTGTTTATTATCTCTCCCAACAGTTGTGCACATTTAACTCAAATTTGACATATGGATACGTCAAAGGAATGCGCATGTCAAGTTAGAATTTGGACTTGGTTCGATTGTTTTTGGCAGATATGTTCCTTTCACTTTGATAATAATTAAAATTTTCAGTTTCCGTTCACTATCTCCCCAACAATATTACACATTCAACTCAAATTTGACATATGGATATGTTTTTGGAATGCGCAGACCAAGTTCGAATCTGGTCATGGTTCAATGATTTTTGGCAGAGTAATGCCCCTTTCACTTTGAAAATGATATGAAATTTACAGTTTCTGTTCATTATCAACCCAACAGTGATACATATTCAACTCAAAATTGACATATGGATATGTCAAAGGAATGCGCAGGTCAAGTTGGAATTTGGTCATGGTTCGATGATTTTTTGGCAGAGTTATGTCCCTTTCACTTTGAAAATAATATAGATACATCTTAGGAATAAGCAGTTTAAGTTTGAATTTGGTCGTGGTTCAATGATTTTAGACAAACTTATCTTTCCTGAATGTTGGAAAAATTTTGAACTTTCAGTTTCAGCACTCATACTTTAGTGGAAATGTATATATATATAGCCATTATGTTGGCTACAAATATGCAATATGCTATTTTTAAAAGGTTAAGACTGAATAATTTCAGTGCCTTGAACATTGTATAAAAATGGTTAAGACTGAATAATTTCAGTGCCTTGAACATTGTATAAAAATGGTTTGTGTTAACATTGAAAAGTTTTAAGGGCTTTGAACTTAGAATGAAAAAAATAATTTGTGCAAACAAATTTGGGACTAAATATTATCACATTTGAAATTTTGGCTGCATGCGGGGGCATCCGTGGCATGATGACACATTTCTAGCTTTAACTCTCTTACACAGCTGTTTGTCACGAGTCCATTACAGCAAAAAAACATCGCCAATGTTGATGAAAGGTAACTATCCATCATTGCTCCTATGTCTTTCTCATCAAGACACAAGTGTAGTGCTGAAATGAATCCTTCGACATAAATTTTCATCTGATCAGTTGTTATGCTATATTTTGAGTCCTGTGATAACTCTTTTAGGTATTCTATGGTTTTGTCACTCAAACTTATTTCATTTGGCGATTGACAATCATAAGCCATCAGTGCTCGCAGCATCTCGCTTCGATTCGCTACTCTTTAAAGATTGTCTAGCTTTATTGTAACACCCATCTTGCGTAAAATATATATAAAAAACAATATTACTCATGTTTTACTTTAACCATATTAGTTAGAGAGAGCTAAGATTTCAACTTAAATTAACAGTAAGAAATAAAATATACAAAATACCAGAAAACTTTAACCTAATTTATAATTTCCTTATAAGTATATTTTAAATACTTACTAGTTAGTCTTCATGCCACTTAATACATGACATCTAAAATATATTAAAAAAAATGAAATAAATAGAACAATGGGTATGTATATGAACTAAAATAATGTATTTATCAACTCAAAACAGTACAGACAGCGCTTGGTCCGGGGATCGAACCCCAGACCTCTGGATTGACAGCCCAATGCGTTAACCACTAGACTACCGGGCCACACAGAATTCATTGTTCTTTACATTTTCTGGTACTTTGTAGTCTTTTGTATTGACTGTGACAATAGTAATTGATTTTTGTATTATCTTACTCGTTAACATTTTCTTATTGCAACTGGTGCATTTGAATGTCAGAATTTCCTTATTGTAGGAGACAGTGCAATTGCAGAATGGGCAATTTGAAGATGACTTAACTTCAGCAGCTTCAATTTCATGAATTGATGGCTTCATAATGACAGGTGTAACGCAATCAGCAATGTCATCGATTAATGAAATAGATGATTGTGGTGTAGTGGTGATTGTTATATCACCATCAAAATGTCTTACTGACACTTCCTTTAGTAAGTAAGATTTACCAATCTGTAACGCATCTATTTGGTCGTTCCAAACTGCAAGTTGCAGACAAGCAGTATTGTCTGCAACTTCAGCCATGACTTTTGTGAGGGATGATTTCGGTATTTTATCAGGTTTACCCATTTCTAGAACTTTACATCTAGCATTGATCTGAAAATAAATTAAGAAAGAATTAGGTAGTGCTTTGAAGTAGTGAAAAGTTGTATCTTAAAGACAAACTACAATTTGCAAAGAATTGGCCAAATAGATAAAATGAGAGCTGTCATAGTCTGACTGGAAGTTGTCTTTGAAAGAAAAGTCAATTTTAGCTATGTAACAAAGTGAACGTCATTATTATCTGAATTTAAATAATCCTCAATAGTCCTGCCTTTCATTCTATCTGAGAAAGAGGAACTTTCATTTAAATACCTTTTTTAGTATCAAATGGACATAACTAACAAAAATCCATTGGTGGATTTTGATGACATTTGGTGGGCTTTATCTCCGTATTGATATATACATTCCTGCCAAGTTTCAAGAAAACTGAACAAACTAATTCAAAGATACGGATCCGGACGGACGGACTGAAACAGAACGCATTGTTTGAAATAACAATGGGTCATGACTAAAACATCCATGGGTGAATTTTGATGACATTTGGCGGGCATCATTTTCTAATTGATTTATACATTCCTGCCAAGTTTCAAGAAAAATCAATTCTAAGATACGGACCCGGACGGCCGGACGGACGGACTTCCTTACCAGAACGTGTTTGTGGGGTTATTCCTTTGATCTCTTAACCCCACAAGAGCAAATTTTTTTAACCCCATAAGAGCATTTTTAACCAAATAATACATGTCTCTACGGAATGAACCCCATACAGAGTGCCTGTACATAAACCTAAACCTCATAATGTAGCTCTCGTCTGCTCGGACGGACAACGTCATTTCAATACCCCGCTTCCTATTTTATCGGCGGGGGAGTTAAGGTTTTTATTTTCCAAATAGAAATAATGTATCCCTGACAAAGTCATTATTAACATGTGCATTAAGTTTTCATTGGTAGCTCTAGCTCGTCATCATCGTCCGTTTCAGGGTTTGGAAATTGTACTTCATTTGAAGATCCTGAATAAATATTATCAAACTTATCCAATAAAAGTACACCTTGCTTACAGTATACAATATGCATTCTTGTGTGTATGAATGTGTTTGAAATTCCTTCTAGAGCAACGAAGAATGGGATTGATCTTATAACTACTGTTACTCAGAAACGTCGAAAACATGCATTGGCTACTTTCAAAATTTAGCAATAAAATATGAGCAATTATAAGTAATGATGTTTAAATAGCAATTTGGGATTACCTAGAATAATGTACGAGTCAACAATGATAACAGTAAAAAAAATCAGAATAAAGAGAACATGACGACAATATTTAAGATTGTTTTGAAACTGTGAAAGTTGCAGAAAAATAGAATGAGAATGAATTGTAACACAGATTGACGGACATGCATACTTTCATACATACATACAGATAGACAATATCCCCTCTTTACCTTCTGTCCAAGAGTCTTCATATGCGATAGGCTGTGGTAGGTCTGTAAATTGTAATTAGAACAAGAAAATCTTTATAATAGTATGTATATAACATCAAATGCGTGTAAAGAACATATCATTTAAGTTATCATTTTTATATCATGTTCTATAATTCACAATACA